GTTCTCAAAGTTCTGCTTCGTTCTCAAAGTTCTGCTTCGTTCTCAAACTTCTGCTTCGTTCTCAAACTTCTGCTTCGTTCTCAAACTTCTGCTTCGTTCTCAAACTTCTGCTTCGTTCTCAAACTTCTGCTTCGTTCTCAAAGTTCTGCTTCGTTCTGCTTCGTTCTGAGGTTTTAAAGGAAAAAAAGGTTCCACAACAAGTCTTATTGAACTTCAGAGAAAAACTGATTCTCACTTTTAGAACTCGAACCCCAACGAGTCACAGAACGGAACAAAAACTGAACGGTCGCTTCACAAAAACACTGGAACTCGTTTTGTTTTGAAACATCGACCAGAATCGACTCCTGACTGAAGAAAGAACAAAAAGCTTTGATTCGTGGCAGAAAATATAATTCCAGAATAAAATGATGGAGCGTTAGAAGGTTTCTGGGTGGAGAAACAAATCCAGGCTTTTCACAGAACAAACTGCGCGACAAGAGTCAAAAACAGGAAGTTCTAAGAGGACAGGAACCGCCTTCATGGAGAACTGGTGGTTAAAGATCTTCCTCCACCCGATGTCAGAACATGTCGTGATGAAACGAAACCGCCCGCTAACGCATGAACTCTTCTTCTGAGATCAAACTTCTTTGTTTACGAGTCAGAAAGTGAAACAGACGAGGTTGAAGGTTTAAAAACTCTCAAGTCGTGTTTAGAGACAAACTTCCAGACGGACCTGCGTTCAGTTCTGACGTTTTAATTCAGCAGAACTTTCTCTGATCTGCTCCACTCCTCAAGTCCAAACTCGTCCCTCGCTCTGCGTTCAGGTTTTACCGTCCCCGCTCTGAGGGGTCTGAACAGTGAGTGTTTGTCTCTCTGGAGACGAGTGTTTTTCTGGACTGCAATGAAGTAAACAAATGTTTTTGTTGCTAGAGGTTCAGGAGGAGCTACTCTGAGGAGAACAGAGGGAGGTGTTTGTTTTCTTCTCCGAGGCGGAGCAGAGCGACAGAGCTTGGAGAGAGGAGGCAAACATTGAATCCACCTCCAGGTGCAGTGGAGGAGCTGGGGGGTGGACAATGGTGGCCTTGGCCCACAGGTTGATCTTCAGACAACCCAATTATATGAGGAAATGATTGCATTCTTCCATCTTCTGTACCCGGGTCACTGGTGCCCATGTCCAGCCATCACTGTGTGAGAGGCGGGGGACGCCCTGGACAGGTCTCCAGTCCATCACAGGGACGCCCTGGACAGGTCTCCAGTCCATCACAGGGACGCCCTGGACAGGTCTCCAGTCCATCACAGGGACACCTGGACAGGTCTCCAGTCCATCACAGGGACACAGAGACAAACAACCTCTCTCTCTCTCACCTAGGGACAATTTAGAGTTACCAATCAGCCTAACATGCATGTTTTTGGTCTGTGGGAGGAAAACAGAGTACATGGAGAAAACCCACGCATGCACAGAGAGAACATGCAAACTCCACCCAGAAAGGTCCCGTGCAGAGATTTGAACCGGCAACCTTCTCACTGAGAGGTGGCAGCTCTACCAACTGAGCCACCATGCTGCCAAGGAAACTACTTATAAGCAAAATAAAAAGTAGAAAGTAGTTTCCTCAAACGATACAGGTGGTTTACACACACACACACACACACACACACACACAGTGGTGGCCATCTTGGATTTTTAGGTGGCATCCCAGGTTTTGAAAGGACCTTCTCACGTCTCGATGCAGCCAAACGTTGTTTGTACTTCACTTATTTATGTTTCAAGTTTTATTGTACTTTATTAATCCCCAGTGGGAAATTAATTCTCTGCATGTTTCCCATTGCACGTGGGCTGCCATCCAAGGCACCTGGGAGAGGTGGTGGTGGGGGGGGGGGGGGTGTTAAGCGCCTTGCTCATGGGCCCAGAGTGGAGCAGTTGTGGGTGTTTCACCTTTCCCACCCACATTTTGATGTCAGTCCAGGGAGTTGAACTGGCAACCCTCCGATTACAGGCCCACTAACCTCTGCGCCAGCACTCCCCCCAAAGTTTCCGTGCTCACTACATACACAAAGGGACGGAGATGTTTTCCAACTCCCCCTCTTCGCTGAGTTACAGAACACCAGCAGCTCGTGACGGAGCGACTCCCGACAGGAAGTTGAAAAAGTGACGTCTCACCTGCAGCTGCAGTTTATCAGCCAGGCTCTTGACATCAGGCGGCGCCTCGTTCAGAGGCAGGAGGCTGCGGAACCGGTCCTCCAGAATCTCCTCCAGCTGCAAACAGAAGCAACCATCAGGTCTTCCACCAGAACCAGAACCAGTCCGGTTCTACCAAACCATAAGGAGCCATTTATCTGATTATTATAAACATTACAGGAGAATTCAAATACATTTAAAGTCTTACAAACACCTTGGAGGGATTTTATTTAAAAAACAATGTTAGACTTTTTTAATTTTATTAGTAACGTCTTCATTTACTTTTTTAAAAAGTTTAATTATCAAAGTTTATTTTATCTAAAAACAGACTAGGACTTTAAAAACACCTAATATGTAATTATTTTTTAATTAGGTATTAAAACAATAATGATAATTATTTTAAAAAATCATTATTTACTAACAGTGATTAAAAAAAACAAGGTTTTGCTTTTAAACATAATATTTTTATAACAACTGTAATTGAACAAATTCAAACTATTAATTATTTTTAAAACAACAAAAAACACAATTTGTCGTTTTATATCTGAACAAAAATACATTCATATTTTTGAAAACAGCAGTTACAAGATATTTTATTAACTATAAAGTTATTAATAAACAAACAGATGTAACTACAAAATTTAAAAAATTAACTTTTAGGTGATTTGCTATAATTTTTTTCACAAATTGACCAATTTAAATTATTGATCTTTGATAATTAATTAGGTTAAATAATTTCTATTTCATATTTTAAGATTATTGTAGCCCGGGCTTTTATTTTGAAAAAGCATAAACAAAATAATCAGTTTTATTTTTATTTTTTTTACTAAATATATGTTAAATATAAATTTTACAGATGTCTTTATTTCTCTGCCCTGCAAATACAAATTTTAAATACTTTTAATTTGAAGGTGAATCTTTGCGTTTGCTGCATTTCCTGTCTGTGGAGGAAGTGCTCCATACCTGCGGGCGAAGGATGGCTGACGGGACCCCGGCTCGGATCATCAGCAGAGCCGCGATGATCATCAGAACCAGGAACTGCAGAAAAACAACAAAAACAAATTTAATTAATTCAAAAAACGACCAGCGTTAAATAAATAAATTAAATCAGTTCTCAAATAAACGGATGTTTTCTTTGTCCAAACACGATCTGCATGCCTCACCTAATAAACCATTATTTGTTAATAACCACTATAAAATCTGTCTTAGAGAATTTATTTAAAAACAAATTTTATAAACTCATTTTGTTGAAAAAAAAAAAAGAAAAAAAGATATTTTTGATTATTTATGATTCCAAACTACAAAACCACAAAAATCTGTAAATTAGCAGTTAGCTCGTTAACAAACTTTTGTTTCCATCTGAGGTTGTTCCAAGAGCTATCTGCAGCAGGTAAGATACTAACTGTTCACAACTCGTTTAAAATGTTCAAATTATTCCTTTAATAAAAGTATTTGTTGTAGAATGCATATCGCCCGCCGACCTTTCAAGTCAGTTTTGTGTGATCTGTTAAAGTACGAGTTGGGATAACTCTCAGCTACTACCACATCAAACTGCGTTACAGCCGTTGGGGTGTTGGCTAACATCCACTAGGTATGGCGGACATTTTGAATTAGGTTAATCAGTTGTAGAAGTTCACTCAAAGAACCTTTCCTGAGGGTTTCATTGAAATGTGTCCACTGGTTCAGAAGATATTTCGCTAACAGAAAGCAGAATGACGGAACCTGCAGGACACCCTCAGATGAGAAGTTAAATGTTTCTGAGGAATCAGCTCGCAGCTCATTTCCTGTTTTGTCCGACTGGCGTGCATCAGAGAGCGACTTCCTCCTACACAAACCGTCTTGAGAAACGAGGCTGCGTGTGAACGCACCACAATCAGAGACACTTTGTGCTCCCTGTACGCTCCGGAGGCCCCCAGCAGGGCGATCAGCACGGTCCCAGCCCCGACCACGTACAGGACCACCAGTCCGGTGGTTCGGTTCTCCACCTGCAGCAACATCACAGAAAAGTTACAACTTTTAGGTTTTTAAGAAGACAACTTGTTTTTTTATTATTAAACTGAGACGGCGTTAAACTCACAACCGGTCCTTGTTCGTCGCTGGTGACGATTTGGGACAGCATGGCGAGGGAGATCAGGATCACGCCGATGATCTGGAGGAGAAGAAGAAACCAGGATCAGGTCCAGACCTGCAGCGCGTGTCGACTACATTTTGTTGCTCAGCTCATCGAGTAAAAATTTGAATAAACGAAAGCGTGCGAGACGTTTCACCGTCAATGGAAACCAGCTGAAACCTGTTCGAATGTTTCACAACAACAAACCAAATCACCCGGATCACTTCAGAACCGATCCAGTTCAAGACCTCCAAGGATTCAAGGTTCCTTATTTGTCATTCGCACCCCATGTGGTGGAACGAAATTATGTCCACAGGGTCGCAGTTACATCCAACAATAAAATGTAAAATAAAAACAGTGATAACATCTAAGATATGAACTAAGAAAAACATCAACTAAATATACACTAAGCACTCATAACATAAAAACATAACGCCCAACAGCAGCAAGAACATGAGTCACTGTGAGTAGATGAGCACGAATGAACACATCAACATGAAACAGATCAGCAGCATGAAACAGATCAGCAGCAACATGAAACAGATCAGCAGCAGCATGATGTGTTTTTTCACAGTGATTATTCTGGTTAGAGATTCATGAGTCTAACAGCCTCAGGGTAGAAGCTGTTCCTCAGTCTAGTGGTTCTACACTTAATGCTCCTCAACCTCCTTCCTGAGGGGAGTGGGGCAAAAAGTGTGTGTGCTGGGTGAGTGTGGTCCTTCATGATGCAGGTGGCCCTCTTCCTGCATCTGGAGGTGTAGATGTCAGTGATGGTGGGGAGACTGACTCCAACATGTTCTGTGACTTCCGTTACTTAGACCGGTTCGACCTGGACTAAATTATTATTTACTCAAAACGGACTCCTTAAAACACAGTTTGAAATGTGAGACGCTTTAATCACAAACCAGCTTTAAAACTGCAGGAAACCCTAAATTTTATCTTTATTTTCTCTTTGGACCGAATGTAAACGGCAGAAACAAACTTACAATAAATCAACATTAATCTAAAAACAAAACTGTCATCAGATGACAAAGATTATAAATAAAAATTAAAAAGTCAAACAAATAAAAACCTACATTCAGAGCATGGTTTAATTAAAAAAAAAAGTAAATTATTAAAATAATTGTAAAAAAATGTCTAGATTCAAATTAAACAGTTTAACTGACAATAAACGCTTCGTTTTAATGTTTTGCTAAAAGCTAAATGTTTTAGTTTTCAGACTTTGTGAACCAGGAACTGCTAAGCTAACAAAGTGCGCAGTTTAAATTCCAAAACCCTGAAGAGGCCATTTTTTAAAAAGTTGACTCACCGCAAAGAGGAGGTTAAAACCGATGAAGATGCGTTTAAGGCAGCTGTTTATCTGCGCCATGTTTACGGTTGATAACACCAGAAAAATAAAAGTTTTACGAAGTTTCTGAGTTCGTGAAAACACCGACTGCGATGAAGTGAAAGTGACCGGAAATAAACGAGGATGGAAGAAACCGGAGGGGCGGAGCTTCCAGCAATGGAGACTTTTGGTGGACGCTGAGTGGAGAATGTGCTTTAGGGGC